ATAGATTTGGTGTTTTCACATAATCCCATACTTCTTGCAGGCTTTGTTCATATCTTTTTCCTCTTTTTTTCTTTGGAGCTTCTCTTCTCGCTTCATTTCCTTGATTTGATCTACTCAGTAACAGACCCTCTTTCTTCAGTTGATCAGTCGGTTACTGAGCTTGTGCATTTATCCACGTATTTCTCGTGTCATCGTTTTTATCTCTGTCAGTTCGTTTATGGCCGCCTTTGCATTGATTGTTCTAGTCATCTATTCTTCTATTCTTTTTTCAAGATTTTTAGTTTCTTTGTGCTGGGTACATAATTCCTCCTTTAGCTCTGAGAAGTTTGATGGACTGAAGCCTTCTTCTCTCAACACGACAAAATCATTCTCCGTCCACCTTTGATCCGTTGCTGGTGATGAAATGCGTTCCTTTTGAGGAAGATGCGCTCTTGTGTTTGATTCAGCTTTTCTGCCCTTTTGAATTTCCAGCTTTTCTGCCCTGCTTTTTCCCCATCTTTGTGGTTTTATCTGCCTTTGGTCTTTGATGATGGTGATATACTGATGGGGTTTTGGTGTGGGTGTCCTTTCTCTTTGTTAGTTTTCCTTCTGACAGTCAGGACCCTCAGCTGTAGGTCTGTTGGAGATAGCTTGAGGTCCACTCCAGACCCTGTTTGCCTGGTTATCAGCAGCAGAGGCTGCAGAAGATAGAATATTGCTGAACAGCGAGTGTTCCTGTCTGATTGTTGCTCTGGAAGCTTCGTCTCAGGGGTGTACCCCGCCATGTGAGGTGTGGGATGTCAGTCTGCACCTAGTGGGGAATGTCTCCCAGTTAGGCGACTCAGGGGTCAGGGACCAACTTGAGCAGGCAGCCTGTCCGTTCTCAGATCTCAGCCTCTTCTGTGAAACTTTATGTGTGGGTGTATGCATGCACAAACACATACGAGGTCAGCAATTTTATTTACTTTTTTTATTACTCTGTCATGTGGCCATGGAACAAATATTTTTCAATGACAAAATTTAGTAGAAAAGGCTCTGGAAATTAAGAAAGCCAATCCATGAACACCTAAAATCATGACTTTTAAAAATTACCTTCTTTGTGCATACTCTATTTCAATTCAATTCTACAGATGGATGTAGAATGTGCCTACTGTGTGCTGGGCATTATGCTAAGTGCTCCGATATAGCACTGATAAAAAGGACAAAAACCTTTATTCTCAAGGAGTTTAGAATCTTAAGTGGTAGTCAACAAACAAATAAATACTATATATTATGATAGATGGTAAAAAGCCCTAAGAAAATAAAGCAAGGCAAGTACTGACACAGTTCACTTATTAATAAGTTCTCTGTTATCTAGGGACTGAGAATACAGTTTGTTAATTTATTGACCCTGCTTCCCTGTCTTCTAGACATTTGTTATGTCAGTCATTCTTACTGTTAGTTGAAGTCAAAGAAACTCTAATCTAGAAATTGTTTACTTGGTTCTACTTAGGGAGTGGGTAGTAAATAAGTCTTTCAAAATTTGATGCAATTATCCAAAATTATTGAATGTGTATGTACTTTTCTGAGATAAATTTCTGTACTTTTCATTCAGTTATCAAATAGTCTGTGACCCAAAATATTTAAGTGGTGACTCTAATTTATCCTTTCTTCTAGCCACATGGCTAAGTAGTTTTGTGAATGAGTAACACAGTCTTGATTAATATGAGGTTTGCAGGCTAGCCTTTGTGTACCTATCTCTGGTTAGTAACTTTTAAAATTAGAGTTGTATCTTTTTGTCAGATGGCTTTTTAATAATCTTCTAAAATGAATATAATAACATTCTAAATGTGTTTAAAATATGCAATTTTGTTTATACTTTTAAAATCAAAATACTTGATAGTTTCTTGTGTGATGATATATATTTTAAGTTGTATTTTCCAAAGACAATTTATAATATCAACAAGGAAGGCTAACTCATGGCCATATTATAAATACACACATATCTAGTTGGGTAAAGAATATACAGATTGGACAGAACACCTAATTGGAGAAATTGGTAAAGGAGGTGCCACTAACTCAATATTTGAAAATGTACCATTTAACCCTTTACAACTTAGTGAGGCAGGTATTATTGTCTCTATTTTGCAGATGAGAAAACTGAGGCTCAGAGAGGTGAATAGAATATGTAACTTGCTTAAGGTCAATTAGTATGGAACTTCACAGCCCACACTCAACTGCCACTTAGCAAACCAAATGAAAGCTAGGGTAATGTTTACTCATTATAAAAAGGATTTCTGGGCATGCTTTGGCCTGCAGATAATATTGTATGTGTGACAGGTGGGGTGTGTGTGTGTGTGTGTGTGTGTGTATGTATGTATGTGTATGTGAAGAACCGACCAAATATTAGCTCTATAGGTTGCAATCCTGCCTCCTACCAAAGCCATAGCCAAGTGGAAATACAACTTTTTTTTCTTCCTCTTTCATACATTCATTTTCATGTGAATACTTCTCCTTGAAAGTTTGTGTATGTTATGTGATTGATCACTTGTCTGAGAGGAATCTTTAATGTTGACTCTGTCAGAGGCTGTTGTAGGTCACAAGGATATAAAGGTGAATAAGACTCCAGCTGTCTCCTAATGGAGATTACACTCTACTCTGAGGAGATAGACATGTAGACAAATTATTGCAATAAACCAATCTAAATGTTAATAGAGAAAGATGTAGAGTGCTGAGGGAACAGAGTAGCAGACTACAGAGGGAAGGGAAAGGAAAAAATAACAGAGGAGGTGACATTGGAGCCAAAGAAGAGATATGTGAAACAGCGTAGTGTGTTTTGGGAATCTTATTTGGTTCACTGTGGCTAAATTATAGATAATTAGGAATATGTTTTAGAACATAGGACTGGAAAGGTTGTTTTCACGTCCTGAGGGGTTTTGTATACTAGACTTAGGACTTAAAAGTTTGGATTTTATTTTGTAGGTAGTAAGGAGCTATTGGAGACTTTTAAGAAGGGAAGGGGGATGATGGGATGAGGTTCTATAGGAGGCAGGTAGCCCAGTTAGAAGACTATTGTGATAGTCTGGGAATATGTGGATGATGAGAGTCTGAAATCAGTCATGAATTTTGGAAAATATTTGAAAAATATTTAGAAGATACTATAGAACAGATTAGGTGACCAAAATGTCTTATATTTATACTACTTTATAGTTGCCAAAATCCTGTAAGTGTGCATGTTATTGGATATTATCAGTAACCCAGAAAAGTAGGTAGTTCAGATGGATTGATTTCCATTTTGTATGAGGAAATTGAGATCTTAAAAGATGTGGCTTAGCCACGGTCACATAGCTAGTGATAGTTTAAGCGTGAACCAAATCATAAGCTTCAAATTCAGGGTTCTTTTTAATTTGTCTGCATCATCTCTATGCAGTGCTTAAGCATACATTAGTTAATATCAAGGCCTGATCATGGTGGGGTGTGTGTTTTAATTTATTCACTTAATATCTCTCTTCATTAGTTATGTTAAGTGCCTAATGGAGAGGGATAGGATCAATTAAATAAGGTAAATGCAACATTTTACAGGTCAATGTAAATACCTAGAATGTGCTTTTCAATTAAGACGACATGTATGCCAGTGCTTTTTTAATATATGAGAATGGTTATGACATTTATTCCTATTTTATTGGAGAGTCTATTGCACTTGATAATAGTGTCAGGCTGGTATCAGAGACTGTGCTTACTGTAATCAGTGTTAAAGATCAGTATATGAAGAATCCTTACTTAACATGTACCATTAAATTGATTTTGTATTAGGTATTATAGAGATATTATAGATTATATCTCTACAACATCTTCCTTCTTTTTACCCATAACCTCTAAAAGGTTTAGTGCCAGAAGGAACAGAACTGTATCTTTATTTTCTCATCACATCCTCTCTCAAATAGATAATACTTTCATTGCTCTCTTTCCAACTTGGCTTTGAGTCACTGCTGTGATTCTAGCTGTTGAACAGTCTTTCAAATTAAGTGATTAGTATTCTAGTCAAGGAAAAATTGTTGTGAGCCTACCATTCTTACCCAGTATTGTTAAGATAGTTTTACTAAATCTATTATTAGGGTCGTGTTCTCAGAGGCATATGACTATTGGGTTTCATAAAACTTCCCTAAATATTGATACTTGAGATTTACAGGAAATTAAATCTAAAACCTTACACTTTTGAAGCTGGAGGCACCAATAAGCTGCTGAAGTTCAGTATAAAGCCACATCTGTGCTCCTTAATACTTTATAAGAAAAGTTTCTCTGCCTTAGTCTTCCTTTACTATTTTTGTCTTACTTGATTAAAATTTTGCTGTTGTATTAACTAATAAATTCAAAGGAAATGTTCTGATTAGTTTCTGTCATAACTGGGAACGATAGTAAGAGTACCTTGGAAAGTATGATAGTCTGTTGTGTAACACTTGCTAGGTAGTAGATATGAATTCTCTGCCTGACTATTTCAATCTCATTGTATCTAAAGGTGTGAACCTCTTACCATCTGGATACTTTAGTTTCCCTCTAAATTAAAAAGAAAAAAAGCAAATCTTACCTGTATAGTACCTAATGCAAAGGTTTTTGAAAGATGATGGGAAGTCATTAAAGTGCTTTTCAACAATTTATGCTATTTACTAGTTGAAATTTTTAACTATTTAAAAACCATTAGTTTTAAAAAATATTATTTTAAAATAGTAATTTACTATTTAATATTTAAAAACCATTGGCTCTTTTAATATATTTCATTGCTTGGTATTAGAATTTTTTATTTTTAGAATAGAGTATATTTAAAGATGACTTTTGCTGTTAAATTTGACAGGCGTGGCAGGAGGCCAATCTAGTAAGCCCAAAGGGAGAATTCGCAGAGTATGTAGGTTAAAGGAGCCCCGGATCTGACTTTCTATGAAGCCCAGCCTACCCATACACATTCCTGCAGAGTGGAGATTTGCTTAAAGTTGACTGTTTTCTTCCTTCTGTACCATCTGATTCAAATCTGCACCTGTCTTTTAAAGCTAGAGACGGTTGGATGGCAGCTTAACCTTCAGATGGCTCACTCTGCTCAAGCAAAACTAAAATCTCCTCAAGCTGTGTTACAACTCGGAGTGAACAATGAAGATTCAAAGGTAAGAAATGGTATCCCATTGAAAGGATGTATTTTGTTTGTTGGGACTTAAACTTTATTCTTAGCAGTCTTTGCTCTCTGGTTTTAAATTTTAAACATAATTCAGTTAAACAATTATTAATAAGTGGATCTTTTTTGACAGATTTTGATGTCAGATTTAAATATCACTGTTATTTATCTCAAGAAATAGCTTATCTTGCAAAGTACCTTTCATAAAAAACATTTCATAATGTCTTCTTTTAAATTCTGCAGTGAAAAAAAAAATGGTAAAGACCACATAAAATCATGATTTTAATGTTTTAGGTATTTGCGAATATTCCTGAGTGTTTCATGTTTTAAGCTGAATATATGTGGTAGAGGGAATATTGTTTGTTGTCCAGCTAGTGCCTGGAACAATAAATATGATGGAGACCTGAATTGTATTTTTGTGTGTGTAGTAGTATAGTATGCTTCCATGTGTTTAAATCCCAGCTTTTGAGAAATAGAATTTTTTTTTTTATTCCACAGGGTGATTTTTACTTTATTATTAATTTCAGAACAACTTGAACATGATTATTAAAGATCAGAGCATTGCTATGAAATAGTTTTTGTTACTGCAACATATAGGGAAATACGTCTTTCAGATATGACAAGAGCTTTTTATCGTATTTTATATTGTAATTGATTATCTTTTAAGATAGAAAAGGGGGAGTGACTTTTTCCTCCTAAGTAGATAAGACTATCTCATCTTCAGACAAAATAGAATTGAGAATGAGGTATTAGAGAATATCTGAGGAAGTAGATTACAGTGACTGAATGTGATAATAGAATAATGGAAGAAATGTTATTATTAATAACAGGAATTGAAGAATGGGAATATTATTACTTTTTTGTTAAAACTTTCACTATTCATTCTATTATGCACGTTTCTGGCTTCTTTCAGAAGTACCTAGCCCAGGTTATATGGCAATAAAATTCTGTGGAATTGACTTGAGTCTTATATATAATGTATTAGTTTATTACAGTGTTTCAGAAGTATCATTTTATTTCACAGATTTTCGCTGGAAAGTAATATGAACTTAGTGGTTAGAGTCAAGCTGTTAGAGTATGTCTAGTGGTTTCCCTTTATCTGCAGTTTCACTTTCCGTAGTTTCAGTTACCCACTGCTGTTTGAAATAGGTGAGTACAGTACAGTAAGATGAGAGAAAGAGACTACGTCCACATAACTTTATTACACTATGTTGTTAATGGTTGTTCTGTTTCATTATGACTGTTGTTAATCTCTTACACTGCCTAATTTATAAATTGACTTTATCATAAGTTTGTGTATATGGGAAAAAACAGTATATATTGAGTTCAGTATTATCCATGGTTTCAGGCCTCCACTGGGAGTTTTGGAATGTATCCTCCCACCGTGGGCAGAGAGACTACTGTGTGCTCTGCAGTTTAGTGTAGTGTAACCTTAGGCAAATTACTTAATCCTTGATTCTCAGTTTCTTTATCTGTAAAATATAGGTAGCATTATCTATCCACACAATTTTTATGAAGACTAAATACCTAGTATATGTAAAGTGTTTAGTCCAGTGCCCAGTAGTACAGCATGTGCTCAATAAATGCTGGCTGCTGCCATCATCATCAGTAAAACTGTTTTGTTTCTAGCTAAAATAAAGAAATCAATCCATGTGTTTTAATTCAAAGTTCTCACTATTTCCTGATGAAATTATTACCTCTTCCCTTGTTCCTTGCATTCCCTCTCCCTTTTTTTTTTTTTTTTTTTGATTATATTTTTCATATATGTCCTTACTGGAAATTAGGGAGGGGAAAAAGAGCCTGGAAAGTCCCTTTTATTTCTTCTGTGAACTGAGTAAGGTATTCCTTTAGGTGTAGGATGATGATCTGGAACTTACTAGTATAGGCTGGAACTATTCCATGAGTGAAAATCCATGCATACATGCACATTCCAAGTAGCTATATACTTCCTCTGGTTTACTTTTCATGACTACCTAATGTTAAGTCTACGTAGCTAAAAGCATTTTATATGTTGGAAGTATACTATTTTGACCACATACATTGGATATGCTTTAAGCATCATGAGTTCAGCAATGCTTGTCTTTGGGATTCTCAAGTCCCCCTAACTTCTTTGTTACATCTTCAAAGTATGCCTATGTGTCTATTATATTTTTAGGCAGTAGGAATAAAAGAATAATGCTTCTTGTAAGACAGCCATGTTAATAAGACATTCAGATTATTCAGGAAGATGTGAATATCTAGATGTGAAATCTAACTCATTTGAAATATGAGCTTGAGTACATTTATGTTTTTCTGTGTGTTTGTATTTTGAAATTTTGAATAAATGTATATATGCACCTTGATTAATCTTATAACTTGCAGTTCTAGAGCACCATTTTCATTAACAAATATGCTGAGGAAGAAGAGCAGAAGCACACATACGTAAAAGATATTTCCCTTTCATCTTGTATGTAGACTTAAGTGACTTCTTTGCATTGCCTTTCTCTTTTATGGCATTGTACACATTTTGTGCCTGTGTCTTTTATCTCCTAAACAATAGACACATAATGAGGTATAGAGCTACCATCACCTAGGCAGAAACATACCATCTTCAAGTGATACGGTGTGCCCTAGCTATAAAGGACCGGTTAACTACTATACCTGTTTTCCTCAATGTACTGCTGGCTGGAATTACTGCTCTTTCTTTTGTTTACCTTCCTTGATTTTAGGATTTTGTATTCTGTTCTTTGTACTCTTCATCTTGTTCCTTATGTTAATTTTTATGTGACTCCTGTTATTAAGGACCACTAACTACTTTTCTCTCAAATATTTACTCTGTTATGAAATGAGAATTCTTCACAGGTTGGAATATTAAGTAAAAGGAATGAGGGTATAGAGCATGTTTTAAAAAACAAGTTTGTTAAAGGAAAGGAAAACTTTTACCAAAAGGGAGATTAAATGTTATCACTGCTTAGTTTAGGATATACAGTATCTTAAAGTACAAAACTGTCATACTTATGAAGTTGGTGTTTGTTTAAAACAGGAAGCATTGAGTACAGTTCTCACAAATGTGTATTTTACAGGGTAGTTATCCTGAAAATATACATATATTAAACTATTGGGAGGATTAAAGTGACTGTAAATTGTGAGGGAGTATTTTGGTGGTGTTTACTTTGAACTGAAAACTTACTGTAATTCACTGAAGAGTGTGGTTTATGAGGAGCTCCTTGTCTTCTTTTTCACTTCTAACATACACATGAAAAATGTAGCCTGCAGTGAAGTTTTAATTGCTATCACACTGGATAACACTGTTTGACTGTAGTCTCCTTTCTTAGAACACTTCTGTCTCGAGGCTTTCCTGTTTTGCTACTAATTTTATCACAAAAACTGGGTGATTGTAGCTTTCCTGCAGTATTTTGATATGTATTCTAGTTGTTTTTGGTTAATTGTCTTAGTGTTTGTCTACTGTGTTTAGGAAAGTGAGATTATTTTCCTGTTCCACAGATACCTCAAATTGAGTTTTCTGACTTAAAGTTTTTTTCATTAGGGGGCAGTAGAGTGCTTTGCTTACTGAGCCTTTTCTGGCATTCACAGTGTTATTTGAAATAACATTCAAAATAATTTGTGAAGTCAGTAGTTGAAGGAAATGCTAAGTGTTTACATTTCTAATCTGTATAGAACAATAGAGTTCCCTTATTTATTTCCATCAACAAAATTAATGCTTATTAATCATTTATGTATAGAACAAATAAATGAAATCATCATGATTTGACTTTTGAAATTTGTATAAGATCATTTGCCAAAATGAAATATATTAAAAGCTTTCTACAGTATTGACTTTTTTGTTACATTATGTCACTTATATTAATTTCTTCATGAGAAAAAAGCATAAAATAGTCCATAAGATAATTGAATGGCACTATTAGGTTATGATGTAACTAGTTCTAGGCCCATTGTAGTCAGCTGAAAGTTCTTTATTTAGAGAGAGTAATGTCATTTGTAACAAATGTTGGTAATATTGTCTGACACCAACACTTTAACTTTGAATTTCTTAAAATACTTTAATTTTGCTATTTATCTTTGTACACTTTTTTCCCCAGTAAATTTCCTGTTAAAGACAAACCTGTTTTGTTAATACAGGGATTCCAAATTTTATTTGTACATCTTTGAGGAAGGATCCTTGTGTTTCATTTTTTTTTTCTTTTGTAATAACTGTGGTAAAATCACCCTGAGAGAACTTTTGTTTATCTTAATGTTAAATTAGATTATAATCAGGTTGCAGAAAGTACTTTATGTAAAAGTAATTATGATTTTGAATGAATTTGGGACTCAATACTAGTTTTCTGACTTAGAGCTCTTCATTCTTATTTCCAAAATATGTGACAAATTCTGTTTAGTGTGAAAAAATGGGCAAAACTTCTTTTTTAAGTGTTTACTCTGTGCTATACACATCTCTTCCAGGCATGATTTCTTATTATTCTTATTTTATTAAGTAGAGATGTAGAAGCACAGAGAAGTTAAATAATATTCCCATGTTATACAGATAGTAAACAGTAGACCTAGGGTTTGAATCCAGGCAATTTTATTTGAGTTCCAGTTTATCAGTAGGATGCTGTATCATCTTGTTAATATAATAACTTAGCAGTTGATCTTGTAATATATGTATATGTTTCAAGGTGTTGAAAGCTATTCTAAAATGTAGGGTTGTTCATAGGGTTATAGTTACACGGATTCTAGATTTAATTTTTCTCTTTCCCCTTTATTTGACTAAGTTGAAACAATTTTACATTTTTAGTCCATTAGAAACACCATTTACTCTCATGTAGTAAGTAAAGTTATAAATGATGTCAGTTCAACAGAGGCTGCCTTTTATTAACAAATATTATTGTAAGGGCTACATGACATCAATGATGTTGATGTCTTGCGAGCAAATAAGCTATATCAGTTAAAAGAAAAGATGCCCTCAGATCTATTTAGGACAGATTTCTCAGAGAAAAATATGTATGCTATTCAAATCATGAATTCTTGTTATAGAAATTTACATCTTTTCATCTTAAAGGTGGTGGTAGTATTAACTGATTTGGAAGGACCTTCACATTTTTTAGCCTTATGTGAGTTGGTCTGCGTTTTCCTTTTTTTTTTCTTGAGGTATCCCGTATCATATCTTTATTAGAATAAATCACACTAAAGAATGCTTTCTCACCCTTGATTACACATACAAACGAGATAATTCAACTGATAGGACATGATTCAAATATAAATAAAATCATTCTCTCACATATTTAACATTGTTGAGTGGCTTTTTAAATTGTATATATTTAAGGTATACAACATGCTGTTTTGATATAAGTATACATAGTAAAATGATTGCTACTATTAAGAAAATTAATCCATCCATCACCTTCCATAATTACGTTTCTTTTGTGTTTGGTAAAAGCACCTAAAATCTATTTTCCTAGAAAAATTTCAGTTTATGATACAATATTACTAACTATAGTCCTCATGCTGTACATCAGATCTCCAGACTTATTTATCCTACATAACTGCAAGTTCATATGCTTTGACCTGCTTCCCATTTTCTCCCTTTCCTTGTCTCTGATAATCACTGTTCTACTAGGCATTTTTTTAAAATTCCACATATAAGTGAGATCATGCAGTATTTCAGTATTTTTCTTTCTATGTCTGGCTTATTTCACTTACCATAATGTCCTCCAGATTCATCTATTTTGTTGCAAATGGCACTATATCCTTTTTTCAAGGCTGACTCATATTCCTATGTGTGTGTATATGTGTCTGTGTCTGTTTATATGTATGTATATGTATGCATATATATATGGACACATATACATATCACAATTTATCCATTGATAGATACTTACATTGTTTCCATATCTTGGCTATTATGAATAATGCTGCAGCAAACATGGGGGTGCAGATGTCTCTTTAACATACTGGATTCATCTTCTTTGGATATATACCAAGCAGGAGATTCCTGGTAGTTCTAATTTGAATTTTTTGAGGAACCTTCAAACTGTTGTCCTTAATGGCTATACCAATTTACATTTCTACCATCAGTGTACAGGGGTTCCCTTTTCTCCACATTCTCACCAGTGTTTGTTATCTCTTGTCTTTTTGATAATAGTCATTCTAACAGTTGTGAGATAATATTTCATTTTGGTTTTGTTTGCATTTCCCTAATGGTTAGTGATATTGAACATCTTTTCATTTATCTGTTGGCCATTTTTATGTCGTCTTTGGAGAATTTCTATTTAGGTCCTTTGTCCCTTTTAAAATCAATTAATCTTAGTACATTGTTATTATTTTGCTATTGAATTGTGTGAGTTCCTTTTACATGTTGGATATTAACCCATTATCAGATACGTGGTTTGCAAATTTTTCTTCCAATCCATAGACTGTATTTTTTGTTGATGGTTTCCTTTTCTGTACAGGAGCTTTTAGTTTGATGTAGTTCTACTTATTTTTTGCTTTTGTTCCTCAAGCTTTTGGTGTGATAATTCAAGATATCGTGACTAGGATGAACATCAAGGAGCTTTTTCTCTGTGCTTTCTTCTAGGAGTTTTATGGTTTCAGATCTTATGTTTAGGTCTTTTATCTCTTTTGAGTTTGGTTTTTGTGTATGGTGTAAAGGTCCAGTTTCATTGTTTTGCACGTGGATATTCAGTTTTCCCAGCACCATTTATTAAAGAGACAATTCTTTCTTTATTGCATCTTCTTGGTGGTCTTGACAAAAATTAATTGAACATGTATGCTTGGGTTATTTCTGGGCTGTCTGTAGTATTTCTTTTGTCTGTGTGTCTGGCTTTATGCCAGTACCTTACTGTTTTGGTTACTATAACTTTATAATGTAATTTAAAATTAGGAAGTGTGATACCTCTAACTTTGTTTTACTTTCTCAAGATTATTTTGGTTTTTCAGGGTCTTTCGTGATTCCATGTGAATTTTATGATTTTTTTCTCTATTTCTGTAAAAAATGCCATTGGAATTTTCATAGGATTGCAGTGAATCCATATATTGCTTTGGGTAGTATGGACATTTTAACAGTATTAATTCTTCCAATTCATGAACATGGGCTATCTTGCTATTTAATTAGGTCATCTTCAATTTCTTTAATCAGTGTGTTATAGTTTTCAGATCTTTCACTTCTTTGGCTATATTTATTTATAGGCATTTTATTCTTTTTGCTCTCCTAACAATGTTATAGTAGCAGGGTCTGGAAAGAGTGGCGGTGGCTGGGAAAGTGGGGGCACATAAATAAGATTGTTTCTTGTTTTTTTTTTTTTTTTTTCCCAGCTAGATCATTATTTTTGTGAAGAAATCCATCTGATTTTTGTATGGTGATTTTGTAAGGTGTATGCTACTTTACTGAATTTATTTGTTCATTTTAACTTTTTTTGTGGCATTTTAAGGGTTCTTTTTTTTTAAAAAAAGAACATATAGGATAATGTCATCTGCAAACAGGAATAATTTTCTTGTCCTCTCTCAAGTGAAATGATTTTTTAATATTGCCTGCCTTTTAAAAAAAAATCATGATTCATTTTTCTGTTACCAAATCTGTATGTGCTTACTGTAGAAAACTTAGAAATTATAGAAACATGAAAGGAAAAGCTGTTAGACTTACCACGAAGATGCAGGCAGTCTATTTGTTTTATTTTATTTTTTTCAGTGTTTATTCGATACAAACTTCTTCTCCAGAGTCTGATTGTAGGACTTGTTTGATTTTATATTCTGCCTTTTTTTACTTAATGCTGTGACAAATCATTTTTTATATTATCTCAAACTCATCATTAATATATTTTAAATTACTGCGTTATATTATGGCTATGACAGACATATTAGGATTTCTTAATAATTCTTACCCTGTCAAATACTGGGTTTGTTTCTAATATTTTCCTCTTACATTGTAATAAACATCTTTGTGTATATATACTTAGATGCTCAGTAAATCTTTATCCGTTATGAATGAATTAATGAAGCCTTCTTAGGATTTAGGGTTATTCCTCAAGAGGATGATTACTAGGTGAAAGGGTATAAACCAAAATAAAACAAAACATCTTATTTAGTTTGATAAATGACTTTCTGAAATCATTTTGGGGAATACACACAGAAACGCAAACGTTGCATTCAGAAGATTTCATAGCTTCTAGAGAAAGATGTAACACTATTTCAAAAATAGGTTCTTTAATAAGTGGGTAATTAATTACTTTGGATTTTAGGAGGCCAGTAAAAAGCCCAGATATTTTTGTAATACTATAGCGCCCCCTCTTTTAAACTTTTGTATTACATTAGTGCACACATTAAACAAGCTTTTGTTATGTATATTTTGTTTTATTATAGAACATGTAGAAGCAATCTGATCAAATACTCAAGCAGTTAGAAAAAATAGAAATAACTCTTGTTTGTTAGATAATTGCCAAGATACTTTGAAAACAAAATCTACTTCTTTGGAATGAAATGTGTTTAAATGTTTTTAAGGCTTTGTGACTCTGGTTTTCTGATTCTTTGTTTTGTATCCTTTTCCGTTGTGATCAATTTCTCAATGAAATTATCCTTCAAGGTTTTATGTTTTCTAAATAACAGCAATACAGAAATGTTTTCCCTCAATTTAATGTATTTTTTTTTTGTTTTTTTGGTTTTGTGGTCAACATGACTTTTTAAAAGACAATATTACGTAGTTAAGTATATTGATACAAATCATATGTGTATAACTTCTGCATAACGCAATGGAAACCCCCTCCATATATGTGGGTGTGTGTGTAAGGTTTTTTTTTTTTTCATGTTTCAGGCTGTCAAGTAGAGAGTCTGCATTTATCCATAATAAGGCTTTATAAGCTAACAAAAAATATTGTTTCAGATGCTACTTGTCTTTGATGAGTGAAAATACACGGTATTAATACACCATTAGAGGTTAGTATTTATGTGGAGAAAATGATAATAGAGACTTGGAGTAGAAAAATCTCTGTTAAAAATACTCCAAACATTTTAGGCAATTTAGAATTAAAATATCATTGTTTTACTAAAATTCTTTTTAAAAATTTTGTGGGATTGCGTAGTAAGGAAACAAATACTATCTTCACTTATCTTTTCTAACTTCTGATTCCTGTAGTCTCTGAAACCCAGAGGCAGTTGATAAATACAGAATTTTTAAAACAGAATATGTTTTAGAAGTACCTTTAAATTTCATTAGATACCTTTTCATGTATTAGAAATGACAATAATGTAAATGAATGATATAAATATTTTGATACAAAAGTATTAACAATGAATTAGACATCTGGACGAATAAAATGCTAAATTCAATAAAGTAAATATGCACTAACTTTTTAAACATCTTGAATTCAGTTCAAGAAATATTTTTTAAACATTTACTACATGTGAG